AAAACACCCTGATTGGTCTGATAGTCTTTGATGTACTTTTCTCGGGCTGCCTGATCTTTGGCTTCAGGGGGGTAACCTGAAGCTTCCTGTTTACCCTTCAGAAAAGTGTGCATGTACTGAACAAAAATCGAGTCGCTCTGTCTATCAAATTGCCATACCTCTGTGATCTCAGCTACCCGATACCCCATCTCCAAGGCCTTGTTAAATTCAGGAGTGACCCAGACCCCTGTCATCGCTCTGTCCTCATCACTGTGTTGACATGGACCCTCCTGAAAATTAAGTTCAGCGCACGTTCGGCAGAGTGTGAAGACAAGTTTACCAGCTGCAGTTCTATAGGGCAAAACAGGAAAAAATAAACCCTGTGGTGGACAGATTTTGGCTCTGATTATTCCAAAGTAGCTTTGGGGTTCTTTGAAATCTTTGTAGATTATTTTTGGGTGCCCCAAAGGATAGGGAAAGTTACAGTTGACATAGGGATACAGCGATGTCACATCAAAGTAGTCTACCGTTTCATTAGCACCCGCAGTGTGTCTCAACTTTACTGCACAGGTTCGACCCCCATACAAAGCTTCGCGGGGTGAGAGAGGTTGAGGAGCTTTATACTGTTTGAGAAAATCTTTTAACCCCTGATGTGATTTTTTCATCTCGGTCCATGTGTGCTCTCTCATGACAATCACTTTAGCATTGTGGATGGCCTGTAACTCACGTAATTTCTCCTCGCTCCTCGCATGCATCTCCTCAAAAGGGTAGCCGGTCAAAGGATTGGTCTCATGAGCTTTGAAACAACTCGGACAGCCATGGAAAAAACATCCCAGAAACTCCCATACATATTTCACACCTTGGATCTCTGCAAAACCATCTACAAAGTATTTTCCTAGTTGTTTTTCCCCCTCATTTAAAGCATGTTGAATGAAGATGTTTTCGGTGCTAGCCACCCAATGTAACCACTGTATGCCTGCGTTCGAATACGTTTTGAACTGGCGTGTGTAGTTATGGGAATCGGGGATGGCCAAACTTTTAGGAGGAAGGAAGTTGGTCACAAACACTTTCATGCATGCAGATGCTATAGTCGCGCGGCTAAAAGGGTCAACCGCTGTTTCATCAATATACTGTTTTCTGAACAGCTTGCATCCCTCTGCGAGAATCTCAACATCGTTTTCACAATAGAGGCGGGCCTCTCTCATGAAATCAAATGTACCGCAGCGCGCCGTCTCGTACCAGGTGTTAAAGTCTTTCAGCTGTACCGTAGTCATGCGTTCTGTACCGTACATTTTTGGCTCCGGGTAGGGACCTGTGTAGGTCAAATGGGCAGGTGAGCTAAAATTATGGGGAAAATAGCCTTTAATTCTGTCATCAAAACCGAGAGCTTTTGGCATATCGGCTAAACGCATGGAAAGAAAGGACAGTGAGTCAATGTATTTTTGATTAAAATCAGGATCTGTCATACAGATGACTTTTGAACCTTGCAAAATCAAAGAGGGTTTTAATGCTTGTTCAAGCATGGCGTTGAGGAGTAGGTAGGAGTCAAAACCTCGAGCATTGTGAGCAATAAACACAGCATTTTTGTACAGAGGGCGTCTGAAATGCGTGAGAAACTCGTTGGCACAATTTCTGCCTTGAGAGCTCCATGTTTTGCCATCTAACGTTTTTGTACACACCAAAAAGGGTATGTGAACGCCATTTTCATTGACGTATGTTTCAAAATCATAAAACACCAATTTTTCTGTGTGTTTTGTTTCAGGTGGTAGTGTCTGGATGTAGCATTGGTGCATCTCCCTCTTATCTGTAACGTCAGAGGTCAACTTCTCACCACAGATTTTACACTTCACCGCAGGACATGTGTGTGGTTTACCTTCACCACTCATCGCTGAGTAGTAAAGCTGTGCACATTTGTTACATTTTTTGTACAACGAGCACGTGCTGGCTAATTTTTTGGCTCTGGGCCTCTCTGTAGGCTCTTTGTGCTTTGTCAGACAGAATTCTGAACGACATGTCCTGTTACACTCTTTACACACAATAGGCTGGAACCCCTTCTGATTACAGGTAGGGTCAAAGCAAACGGAACAATGAGCAGGGCATCGGTGACTCAGCACACCGTTGTACCCTGTGTAACAGTACTCACACAGATATGGGGAACCCAGAAAGGCCTTTAGATTTTTTATACCATAGTAGTGGTTCTGAAAGAGAAACAAAAATAGGGTTTTACTCTGTCTTGGGCTTTTGGTCATGAATTTACAGAGGGCCCTATCGTCGTCTCCTCTATAAAACACTACAATTTTGCAGTCCAAAGCACGTTCAAATCGCGTGATGTCGCTTAAGGCTACAGGTGTCTGTTCATCCATTCCCACTTTGTTTTGAATCTCTCTGCCGCATTCAAGAGCCTGTCTATCGTTGAGGAGGGGATGTAGAAGATGAGCCAGACAGACGGCGAAACACAAGTGATTCCCCTCGTTTTCTACAATGTACAGAAAGCGTTGTTTTTTTTTTAAGATTTCGCTTTGTAACATTTTATCCACCATTGCTCTTTTACCCGCGCCTGTAGGGCAGGTGATCACTTGGAGAACCAGTTCTAGATCACCATCTGTCATAATGGTCCAATTGGATTGTACTATGCGAAGCAAAAGTCTTTCAAAACCCGCTAAATTGTCAACATCACCATCCTGTAAGATAACTGATACATTATTACGGAGATTTTCACCTCTTAGCTCCAACTGCACCACATCTTGGGGTCTCCTGTGTGACAAGGCTTGTTGTAAAATCGCATCTACCTGCTCCAGTGTACCATTGTAAAACTGAGCATAATCCACAACACCCTCTGAATTGGTTGGAGAAGGAAAGCGCAACACCTGACGTATTTCATAATTACAGAATCTATGTCGTGATATGACTCTTGCTTGAGGTGCCACAGGGTCATTATTTTGAGACACGCTGCCCCCTTGCTGTTGCAAGGGAGGAGTGTTGGCTACCTGCTCCATGAGGGGGGAGTTAATGGGGGTCTGATAGGTCGAGGATGTAGAGGGGTTTAAGGCAGGGATTGCATTATTTTCAAGCTCGGAGAGAGCATTTTGTATTTGAATCAACAGGTCTGGAGACACAGATGAGTTTAAGACAGGAATATGCTCGGGTTCGGGTAAAGAGGGGATGTTGTTTTGGTGAAAGGGTTCATTCATTTGGTTGATTTCATCTAATAAAGCAGTTGGTATTTCATTTTCTAAGCGTTCCAGATCAACGAGAGCTTGATTTATAGCGTGTAACGGATCTAAGAACTGACTGGAGGAGGTCTCGTTTTCAATTACACTATTTTCAGTTATACCATTTTGAAAGTTTGACTCATTCTGATAATGTCGATCTACCTCGTCTGATAAACTCTGCCTAAGCCCTAACGGTTTGTTTTCATCCATTATCATAAAATCAAAACACACTTAAACCTTAAAACAGACACTATAAAAAACAGGATAAACACGTTTATCTAACTATTGCAAGTGAAAATCAACAATAAAAACAATTACCAAATGAAACAAACAAAAAAAATCATTTAAAACAAATTCAGATAAATCACCTTACTAATTATGATCACTGTAGACAGCCAGCATTTCACCCATTAGTCGGAAAGCATTACTCATTAGAACTAGTTGTTCATGGGCAGTCCGACAGCAATTCTGACAGCCTCTCACGGATCGTCGGGGTCTGTTTGCTGGAGGGACACAAAAACAAAGACACTTTAACCTCTTTTGTGTATTTTAATACAGAAAGTCAGGCATCACCCCTACAAATCACTACATTAATACTTTATAGCAAACAAGCAAAGTTTTTTAACTAAATACCCTGAATGTCAGACATCAGTACCAAAACACTGTAGAAGTGCAAAACAAACGAACAAACACCACAGTAATAGCCTACTTTATGAAAAAGAAGCAAAATAGCTTTTAGAGTCAGGTTAACTCATAAGACTACTTTCTGCATAGAACATTTGACATGCTGTTGTATTTGAGAAAATAGTGTGGAATACTTTTAACTCATTAATTGTATGGCCTAATAATCAGCAACATGGTATCACGGGAGACTGTGTATATAGGCTATACTTTTTTTATGACTGCATATTTGCTAGGTTAATGGTTTTAGAGCGTTATAACAATTTACTTACTGCTGCTCCTACTACTGCTACTGCTACTGCTGGTTGAAATGAGCCTTCTACGGTGTTCCCTTTTCCGAGGTCCGTTGTTCGGTATAGGCTCAGTCTGATTCAGCGGCGTACACGGTTCTGCTGGGTCCGGATGAATGATTTCCTCCGCTATCAGTCCCCGCGCTTCTACCGGTGATCCGTTACGTGACCTCCCATCTGCGGCCTGACTGGAGCGCTCTACATCATCGACGGGTGATTCCGGGGACAAATCCGGCTCAACGTGTTCCGGGGAGCCCGGTGTTATGTACACTTGCGGTACCGAAGCCGAGGGCTGATCCGATTCCGGAACCGGACCGTTCTCCTCGTAATTGGTAGGGGAGAGACCCTGCATAAAGTACCGTTCACAATCGCTCGCACCATCTGTGGGTGTAATGAAAGAAAAGAGTACTGTTACCACATCTGCGTAAAAGTTTGTAAATAAATAAATAAAACCTACACACTGATTAAAAGTTAAGGTAACCTTACTTACCGACTTCTCCTGTGAGATCTACAACCTGCGCTGATGGAATGCCATTCTCCCTTGTAGAACCTATTTCCTCGCCTGAGTACAAATCTGTAAAAACAATATACAAAATACACATCAGGATAGTACACTTTAAAATTTAGAACATTTCTATTTCACTCTAGTACATAGAAGGCCCTCTTACCTTCAAGTTGATATTCGGTTGAATGAAGCCCATTGTCGATCAAGTCAAAAACTGTTAATTGAAAACACGCAGGAATGAAAATACAAAGTGTCGATTTTTGCTATTTCTTTAGTTGTGGAGGAAAGGCTGAATGCGTACCGTGTTCTCTTTGAAGGGTCATCGCTCTGGTTTCAAGTCACTAGTGTGAAGACCTCTGGATTTCTGGTAGGGTACTTATAGAAGTAAGAAAACAAAAAAAACACACGAGTGCTGCTCTGCATGTGGGAGATAACTGATGAGGGGTTGGGGCCGTTACTTCTGGTACAACCAGATTATTATTTAGTTCCAAACTCTTGTCTCCGGCTGATAAAAATAGCTTCCTTTTCAAAAACGAACTCACGAACTCTGTCTGATAAAACCAGACCGTTTTTTTAACATCCGGAGTCTGGGTTATAGATAACCAAAGTTAATAACTGGTCTACAAGATTACCTGAGGATGGCAGCTAAACACACAACACGCCTCATTGAGAAAACAGAGGGAGGTGTTCCAGGACTCCCCAACACGACTCGTTGAGAAAACAGAGGGAGGTGTTCCAGGACTCCCCAACACGACTCGTTGAGAAAACAGAGGGAGGTGCGGGGGGTGGAGCACATTCCTCAATTCACCCCACAGCCTATGCTACACCAGAATGAGAGAGGACAGAGAAGAGGAGACACAGACTCTAGAAGGATTAAAGTTTTAAGACTCACAAGTTTAAGACTAGGCTACAGCTTTGGAGTGATAATGATGGCAAGTTTGTAAGACAAAGCAATAGCAAAGTAATTTGGAACACTCTCTTATTTTGCTGCATGCTGTTGAAGGTAATTTGTAATGCTGTTTAATTTTTACTCACCGTTATACCATTTTACTGCTTTACTGTCATTATTTCAATTTATTCTTCACTTGTTTACTGATGGTAAGTTTGTCACACAAAGCTTTAGCAAAGATTTTGAAGGTAATTAAAAAATGCTGTTTAATTTTAACTCACTGTTATACTATTTTACTGTAATTATTTCATCTTATTCTTTAGTTCTTAAATGATGGTAAGTTTGTCACACAAAGCTTTAGCAAAGATTTTACAAAGTTTAATTTTGGAACTCACTCTTATTTTGCTGCATGCTGTTGAAGGTAATTTTTACTCACCGTTATACCATTTTACTGCTTTGCTGTCATTATTTCAATTTATTCTTCACTTGTTTAATAATAAAGACTGACTTGATTCCAAAGAAACCTCCTACTGATCCTTTGCTGGCCCCGGAGATTCCTCCTTTTACTTATAACTCACTGCTATACTTTTTTAATGATAAATTTATTGTCACAAACACCTCCTAGTTAATTCATTCAAGTTGTATTACTTAATAAAGTCTTTAAATCAATGAAAAACACACAATGGAAGGATGTACGCAACCCTCTTATCAGTTACATACAGACATATTTCCGGTTGGGGCGGGACAGGATGCACCCCCTCTTATCAGTTACATACAGCCATATTTCCGGTTGGGGCGGGACCGGATGCCCCCCCTCTTATCAGTTACATACAGACATCCGGTGGGGTGGGGGGACCGGAAATAGCTGTCAAAAATGAGTTTGATGGAATGTATTGGATACTTCTCTCTGACATTGCCATGATCTGGCCAGCGTAGAAGTATCCATTGTCTTTCATCGCTGTTATCAAATGAAAACAAATATTACTTGTCAACTGGTACCATCAAAAATAATGTTTGTCACAATGCCTCTTTGGGATACGAGAACGCAGGTTCAACTTCCTTTGTCAAAAAAGTATTATAGATACAAAACCTGAAAATTCTTACACTTCCTCATTAGTCAGGTATAATGTATTAATTGATCCAAAAGAAATCCAATAATGACCTATTATGGCAATATGAATTGATTTAATCATGTACCTTTGGAGTTGCATGTGAGGACTTTAGCATTAGGGGGACCCTCAAAGATGCCAATGTTGTCCTTGATTTCATGTAGACAGAGTCGAAAAAACTCCCGAGTAGGTCCTCCATTGTCCACAGCACCCTCAGATATTCCATAGTCAGTGAACTTAACATCTGCCTTCTTCTCGGGTGAAAAATTGGATCTGCCCATGGCTCTGGATGCTCCATCCCACACATTTCTTCTTATGATATTGAAGCGTACAGTGCTGTCATTATTTACTCGAGAAGCAATCCGCTCCATTATTCTCTCTAAAGTCATCTTTAAATCACTGAAACAGTAATAAACAATACAATGTAGTTAGTGTCAATGGTAATAACTCGGCCACTGAACTATCATGTAACATCCAGAACATGGTAATTCATATTCATTAAATCCTTAACATAAACGTTTGTGATAATGGAAATTAGCAGTTTTTTCTTGCTTATCCAGAACTACTTAACCTACTGATATATCACACATTAATTGCAAAGAGCAACAGAACAATTTTCAACACTGGCAACCACAGTCCATCCAAAAGAACATTGACAACCATCAAAATCAAACACTGTACATACAAATAAAATATAATGCTCTTGAGTCTTGACAAAATTACTGGATATCAGTCAGACACAAGAAAACGATATTGTGCATTCATCCAGATATTTCTGACCTATGTAGGTTGCAACTTGCTCATTCTTCTTGGTACTAGTCTAGATAACATATGTTATTGTTATCTGGCATCACAATTGAAATAATTACATTTTATATAATATTTTCCACTGACCTCTCACTTGCACTGGAATCTAAAGACCGTGAAATGGCTTCCTGTAGATCAGGGTCATCAGAGAGGTATTCTTCCTCAAACAGGTCAAGGTATGTACTACAAAATAAAATACCAATATTTTATTATTGATGTTAAAGGTACAAATATATAATTTTGTCGCTTTAGCGCTACATTAAGAACATCCTTTTTGGTCTAATAACTTAAATGTTCTTGAATTGACAGTGCATTATTTAAGTGTGTAAAACTAGGTACACCATCATTTAGTATCAAGGAAATATATTTTTACACAAATTGTACAATAAAAAGGCCCACTAAAGCCCAGACCATGGAATAACTGTATGAAGAGACACAAATGTACAAAAGATGGACCTGTAGGATGTGCTGGATGAAATATTGCCAGATGTGCTGGGTTGGGTGGGACTGTGGGACACACCAGAGGTGTTATGAGCAGAGGACCGATGCATGTCACCACTAGCATTGGCAGTGGGACCAATCGGTAAGCCATGGGTGTTGCCACTGGAAATGGAAGAGGAGCCACTGGACAGGGTGAGAGTCTCATCAATAGTGATGACAGGAGTACTAGTGGACATGGTGGCGGTGTCAGCTGAGATGGAAGGTTCATCGGTGCAAATATCTTGGGTGGCAACACACCAGATAACTTGATCACCACAAGAGATGGAAGGGTTATCATTGAAGAGGGACTGGGCCTCAACAGTGGCGATAGCTGAGACAACTTCTTTGGAAATGTCACCTACGCTACCAATGACTGCAAGAACATGGAAAAATAATCAATTAAGATTTAACATTTGAGTGACATTTTACTTATATGAGAGTGAGCATCAGAACACATCTTGGATTAAGCGGTGGATTATTTAGTATAGTATAATTATAGTACACAGTAATACAGTATAATTTTTCTGCACAAAATATTACTTAAAATAACTAAATAATAAAAACACAAAAACATAAACAACCTGCCACAATCTCTGTTTCAACTTCCAGACACATTCACACAAAATAATTAAGGGAACACTTAAATCACACATCAGATCTCAATGAACAAAATAGTCTGTGATGGTTCCAAAATCTACTCCCAGACCTGCATCAGGGAATCAGTGAGCTCCTGGACAATCTGTGGCGCTACTTGGCAGTGTTGGATGCAACGATACATAATGTCCCAGGGGTTCTCAATTGGATTCAGGTCTGGGGGATGAGGGCCAGTCAATGGCATCAATACCTTCATCATCCAGGATCTGCCAATACGTTCTGGCCACATAAGGCCAGGCATTGTCCTGAACCAGGAGAAACCCAAGGCACTCTGCACCAGCGTCTGACACTGGCTCTGAGGATTTCATCCCGGTAGCTAACAGCAGTCAGGGTACTGTTGACTAGCATGTGAATGTCTGTGCAACTCTCCAAGGATATGCCTCCCCAGACCAATACTGACCCAAACCGGCCATGCTGGATAATTGTTGCAGGCAGCATAACGTTCACCATAGTGTCTCTGGAGTCTTTCACGTCTGTCACATGCGCTCAGTGTGAATCTGCTCTCATCTGTGAGGACAATCGGCTGCCAGTGGCGGACCTGCCAATTCTGGTGTTCTCTGGCAAATGCCAATTGAGCTGCACATTGATGGGCTGTGAGCACAGATCCTACTAGAGGACATCGGGCCCTCATGCCAACCTCATGGAGTCTGTTTCTGATAGTTTGATCAGAAACATGCACACCAGTAGCCCGCTGGGGGTCATTTTGTAGGGCTCTGGCAGTGCTCCTCCTGTTCATCAGATACGGGTCCTGTTGCTGGGTTGATGCCCTTCTACAGCCTTTCCAGCTCTCCTCGTGTAACGAACTCTCTCCTGGTATCTCCTCCATGCTCTTGAGAATGTGCTGGGAGACACAGCAGACCTTCTTGTGACATATGGATGTGCCATCCTGGAGAAGCTGGACTACCTGTGAGATCTGAATGGACTGCAGGTACCAACTTATGCTACCAGTGTGCACAAGGACAGTAGCAAAACGCCAAACTAGAGAACAATCAGTCAGGAAACCATTCCCTATGTGGGGGGTGTCTTGCTGTTGCCTCTCCAGTGCACCTGTTGTCACTTTCACTCGCACCAGAACAAGTGACACTGATTCACAATTGCTTATGCTTCCTAACTGTACAGATTAATATCCTTGAAGTTTAATTAACATAATGTTATACTGTGATGATTAAAGGTTCAGTGTGTAAGTTTTAGTAGCATCTAGTGGTGAACCAACAGCTCACTGTGCATTCACGTGCTCCTCAGATGGTTTTCCCGAGTTGTAAAGTAGTTCTTCCAACTTTGGTATGTTCATGTGCTCCTAAGTCAGAATGTGGAATCAACATGGAAGCTAACAAAGATGTGCTTTATCAGTGCATAAAAACAATATGCAGACATCTGCGATATCTTTAATTTCTAAATCCAACAACAAAAAGGCTGTGAAAACGTTCAACATATGGTCCTCTTTTAATATCTTTATATAAAAAGACTACACCGGCAAAGTTGTTATTATTTGTGTCTTCTTATATAATTGTATACTTATTTATATCACATGTACTTTTTCCTCCTATTGCAATAAAGATTTAAAAAACATTCCAATTATTCCGATACCACATGAATGGACCATTAGTCATCACTCACCCATTTGTTGCAAAAGCGCAGAGGAGAAGCTACAGTGGTCGACACACTCTGTCCGCTCTTGTGCTAAATAATACGTCTGGTCCTCCATTTGTCCAAATTTCACTTACTTCTAATAAGCCAGACTACGACTATAACTATCATTGTTACTTTTTTTTTTCCTTTGTACATATTCTCTGTGTATTCATTGTTCACTAGTGATGAAACGTGCTCTGCAGATCAGTTTGTCCATTTGGTGTACTGTACAATGTACTGTACATGGCGGCGCAAAATGGCGAAGTCCATGTAAGAGGACCTGTATGTAGATAGAAATGACTCATTCTAAAGGTAATAAAAACATAACGGTTTATTATTATTATTATTATTTATTATAAGGTCTTTATACACCACTGAAAACTTAGGTATGGATATTATGTTGCATTTCTGTCAATAGATCCTCCTAAATATTACACACTGGTTCTTTAAGTGTTCCCTTAATTATTCTGAGCAGTGTATATGTGATTACTATCCCTATTACCCTGCATGACAAGCCATAACCAACATCATTTAATTTTGTTTGTAGATGCATATAGATAGAAATATTTACCACAGTTGTCACTGTCCGATGACTGGGCAAAATCAAGGCTCCCTGCATGGTGACTGTCTCCATCAGAACATGACTGACAATTGAAGCAGATAAATACAACAAACTTTAAGGGTCAAATACACTATACTAACAAATGTTTGTATTATGTCGCAGCATAGGACAAGTAGTAGTGTTTCAGACATCCAGTGTAAAATACAGTATTGCCATTGCCAGTCATGCACATGACTTTCTTCATGCACTACTTACAGATTCTTTCTCCTCACTTAAAATGACCTTGTCAGGCCTGACATATATGGACTTCTGATGAAACAATTTTTTTAAAAGGCCTCCACTTAAAGTCTGATTGGAGCTAAGGGGTGGCTCAACTAGTCTGTTGTGGCATGGCATCAAGATTTGTTACCTGAGGGAATGAAAAGCACACTGTATATGAAACTTGTTAAAAGTAAAACACTACACTACAGTACATGGAAAAGTTTGAGTTTCAATACATAATTTGTGTGCATACAGAAATTTACATTCTGTAAAGTTTTGCAAGTCAACATAACTTTGAGATAATACCAGATAACCCCAATGTATTGTATTATTGTATTATTTTTTTTACATATCCAAGCTTGGTAAAAATAAGCAGAAGCAAAAGAGAATGTGAAAAAATAAATGTAAGTGAAAACACATACACTCAAAATTAACCTTTCATAGTACAGAATATGATATATTATAAAAATATAAATAAGATGAAACAGGTAAGAAATGTGCCAAAACAGATCAAAAGCTTACCTGCATCCCTGTACAACAGGCTGGAAGGCCGCTGTTATTGCCTGCATTACTTTGACAGAATCCCAGTCACAGCCAAATTCCAATGCGGATTTTATATGTCCATTTTCAAAAAGCCAAGCTTTGCTGGCACGCCTTGGCACATTTGTATATGTATGGTCTGGCAGGAGAATGACCTCTTTGGTAAAAGACTGAGCCACTGGATTTCTTAATTGTGCCAGAAACCTTAGAAACATTAAAGAAAATCCAAATTACATTAAAAAGTGTAAAAATATGTTCTACATTTATATTATTTACAGTATACATTTATATACAATAAACATGTAGCCTACTGTAGATTCACTTATCTTCTCTGTTTACGAACAGGTAAATGTGTAAACAATGAATTTATTCTGAACTGTAGTTATTTTTTGCGGTTGCTAACATTAACATTTGTGTCTTACCATGGTACAGTATTAAATTGTGTAACTTCATAATTTACTGCAATGTTAATAAATATACAGCATGATTAATAAAGCAGTGATCTGCACTAATGCAATTTATTAATTTGAAAGTTATTTTAAATAAAACCTAACAAGCCTCACAATAATTACCTTAAATTAAATTATTTAAATTTGACTACCTAAATCATAACTGTTACTGCGTGGCGCAGGACAATACTATGAAATGCTAAAATAAATAGGCTAATGTTACTGCAAAGAAAATCAAAGGATTGCTTTTGAAATGTTAGCTAGATGGAGTGCATGGGACTCAAAATGTAAAAAATATGTTTAGAAACCTCTAGGCCCTAACATTACATATTTAGCTGTGTAAATAACTAATACGTGGCCTACTTTTGGAACTGGTGCAGTAGGACCAACGACCAACGGACATTATATCGCTCTCTTCAAAGCCACCATACTCCTTTGACAATAAGTAATTTACCTCTTAGAACACGGAAGTTTCTGTTTTTATTTTTTATTGTGACTTTGGTGTTCAGAGCTGGTTCTGACCTCCCTGGGGCCCTGACTTCTGATCCATGTAAACAATTTGCCATTGCTGCATAGTCACACCTGACACCACAGTGCTTTCACTACAATCCTCCCTCCATTCAATCTGTCTCTGAAATAAACCTTAATGTAAATTCTTCTTCTAGAAACATCCAGTGCTGGTTTGAATGGACCTCTGTACACTAATTCAGTCTTCATGAAGTCCTACTGTTCAATTCAATTTTATTTATATAGCGCCAAATCACAACAACAGTTATCTCACAGCGCTTTTCATAAAAGAGCAGGTCTAGACCGTACTCTGTGATGTTATTTACAGAAGCCCAACAGTTCCCACCAAGAGCAAGCACTAGGCGACAGAGGCAAGGAAAAACTTCCTTTTAAGAGGCAGAAACCTCGAGCAGAACCATGGCTACTGGGGGCCAATCTGCTGGAGCAGCAAGTGTTCCATTAGGGTCTGAGCTGCTTGCTGTACTGACTGTGCTGGTACAGGCTGAGGCTGGATGTGGATCATCTGTGCTTGTATCAGCTGATGATTCAGCATCTACTCTACTGACAAACTTTAGCATAGACCCTATAAATTATAGATAACAATACTTGCAATATATTAATGTTATCAGCTCCATTCGAACTGGCTCCCCAGGTTTCTTTTTATACATTTTCAAAGGTAAAATACTATTAAACGTTTTACCATGACCTGGCTGAATAAGTGATGGTTATTATTAACTGAGAGATGTGCAGTGCATCCATAATGCCCACTCTGCCCAGCTAATCAACAGTTGTGTCAATCCACTGCTTTTAATCTTCAATTAGTCCAGAGTTGTATCTAGACCTTTAATGTTAGTGAGAGACGGATTATCACTGTCTTGTTTTAAAATGATGTTCGACTAAAAACATATTGTTCACGCGCGCTACTTTTATCTTTACCGAGCTGCAGTTTAAAAACACCGTTGCCTGTCGGTGTTTATCTGTGGACGTAATAAATAGGCTAGTCCTATTTCACTCTAACACTGTTCAAACACAAAGTCTGTTAAATAACCAAAATACAGACAGACCGAGATGCGCTGTACAACTGGGTTAGCAAGACAGACCGAGTTGAGGCACTGCAGTTGCACATTATCTTAACATTACTGTTTTCTGCTTAAATCAGACTTTGAGACGAAAGAACACACGTTTACCTAACTGTTGTCACTGAATTTAGCTGTTCTCGTGCCCAGAAGGATAGGCTAGTTTCCTCTTCATCCACTCATCAAAGTTGTAAACAAATTCTGGCTTTCCGGGGAACCAGCGACGTAGAAGAAAAAACCCGTTAACGTTACGTGTACCACAACACCGGCTTGCTGGTGTGCTGTGGCTGGGCTTAGACATCATTCCACGATCCCGCCTCAAAAGAAAATGAAATCGGACCCAGCTTTCCAGCTCCGTACCTTTCATACAGCGCAGCAAGCCAGCATATTGGCCCAATGCTCCAGGAAAATAAGGCAGTGTGACAGCCACTGACATTTGAAACAAGAGTGAGAGGGGCCCTGCTTAATATGCGTAGTGAGCAGGACAGCCCGGCTCGTGTTTAAAAGATTAGTTCAGATCCGAACTAACTAAAACACCAAAGTTACACAATAATCTTTGATATACTCAAGTAACACAATAACCTACCAGCTGTAACTTAAAATGACTGTTTTGTCAATGGAATCTGGAGGCTTTGAAGAGAGTGATATAATGGCTTGCTGGTTAAACAGAGGCTCGTAACATTAATCTTTTAAACAACAATCGAAATGCAGTAAGTTCTATTGTTACCTCCTATGTCCTGGGCTCTTTCGGGTGGATGGGCGAAGATTGTAAATAGGGGCTGTTGTAGGGGGCACCTGTGAGGTTGAAGGTGTGTTTGTCTGAAAAACAGGACCTGCCTGTCCTGGGAGGTTCCCTGCGTTCGGCCTTCCACGATGGAAAAGAGAATATATTTCTTCATCGGGAGAACGGTACTGGATACGGTTACCAGTATTTTGGCCCGTACATGCATTTGCCAGAGTGTTAATGTCTTCATTGCTTAAAATAGCTGACACTAGATTCCTAGCTGATTCACTCATAGCGTCTACATTTGTTACATCCTGATTAATCAGTGATAACACAAGATGGCGCCAGCGCCTTAATGACGTCAGACTTTCATTCCATATATTCAGACTTTCATTCCATATATTCAAGGTTCATTCCATATATTCAGACGGACAAACCATAAATATATATATTACCTAAACGGCATGCCATAATAAAAATATAAATATATATTTTCTTTTCTAAAATGCGATCAGCCATACGCTTTGTTCGTCACAGGAGAAAACTATCACGCAAACTACTGCTCCTACGCTGTCAATCAAGTTCAAAGTGCTTGCTGCATTTTTGAACAGTTCAATTTGTTCAGTTTTGGGCAGTCATAAAGTTAGAGATGTGTGTCAGGCAATCAGTGCATTTGCAGCACTGATTGCTTGGTTGTTTCAGAGTCATTAGGTTCTGTAAATGCATTGTGGCAACAATACAACAATGTGTTAAAATTATAAAGAAAATTGACTTCAGAATGTTGAGTAGTTCTAAAAGCAAGTATTCTGATTCTTTCACTTAAGTTCAAATTTGACTGAACAAGCTTTACTTCTATTGAAGTAATATTTGACCAGTTGCAGCAAATGAAAATTTTCAGGTGAAGTACAAGTACCTCAGTTTTGTACTTACATACAGTACTTAACTAAATGTAGTTACTTTCCACCACTGCATAACACCTTAAATTAATAGTTTTACTAGCAACTTATATATACAAAGAAAACTTCTATATTCTTGGCCTGCATCGACTCTATCCCAATATGCTTGTTTCCATTTAAATCACTTACCTCGGCCTTCCTCTCTGAGATGCAGAATGTGTTCCCACACCATAAGCTTCCATTTGAAGTGTTACTTCAGAGACTCATAAATTCCTTCAAGAATGATGCATAATGTTCTTTCAGCAACATTTTGTTGAACAGGATTGCTCATAAGCACCAAGAATGTCGCAATAATGGACATATGATCCTCAAGTTATTGCGATATAATTTCCAAACTGTTTGTTGTTTGGAGTATGACCAGTTGTTGCAAAAAATGGCATTTTGTAAATCCAGGGAATTCAGAAAGGTATCCCTTTGATGACATTTCTGTCAATGTATTACAACTGTCATTCCATATATTCAGACTTCCATATATTCAGATGGACAAACTTCATAAATATATATATTTGTTATGAGGGTGGTGAGGTGTGGGGACAGAGAGGACCCAAACGCAGCACTCTGAGGGAAGGAGGTTTGAGGGAAAAAGGGGTAGAGGGACTGGAGGGAGAAGTGGATGTTGGGGAAACACAGGCACGGGAAACCAAGGAGACTGGGGGCCAGGGAGCCGGGGAACACTGGGGCCGAGGAAGCGAGGAGCGGGGGAGAACAAGGAGGACACCGTGGGGGAGGTCCGAGGTGGAGAGGACTGGTGGATGAGCCCAGCCGACTGAACGGAGGACGAAGGTGAGTGAACCTGGGAGGGAAACAGACAGAGAGACAGGGTTAGGGATAACAGACAAAGCACAGGGAAAATGTGAGAAAAGACAAGAAACATGAGAGCCTGAATGTGGAGGTGGCACCGGGTATGGAGCAACGACGATGAAGCAAGAGTGGTGTGGAAAACCGGGGTTGAAATACAGGCAGGGATGAGGTTGACTACTGGCAGGTGTGGCAGGCTGACGAGGTGGCTGATGAGGTGCAGGTGCGGGTCATTGGCTGGGCTCAGTAGCAGAGGGAGAGAGAGAGCACACACAGGAGAAAACACAGGGAGGCAGGCAGGGAACAGAAAACCAAGGAAAAAGCAGAATAACTGATAAAAAGGAGAAAAAAAACAGGACACTCACCGTCAGCCGGGCTGCCACCACAACATATATTATTTCCTAAACGGCATGCCATAGTGTGTGTATATATATATATATATGTATATGTGTATATGTATGTATATATCTATTTATGTATGTATGTATGTGTGTATATATATGTGTGTGTGTGTGTATGTGTGTATATGTATATGTATGTGTGTATATATATATATATATTATGGCGGTAGTGGCTTAATTAAATATTGACAGCATATTTCTGTGGTTTTCACATGGTTTGAATTTGGTTGTGGCTCCATGGGGCTTAATAGAACCATGATAGAGAAAGATCAAGAGATGAATTTGTGCATTATGCTTTGTCAATTAGAGCAAGCCAGGCAGCCCTCTGTGTTTGGGAATCGCCCACTAGAGGACAGCAGCACCGCAATAACCAGCCTAGTTTAAACGAATGGAATGAATGAAATGACACAAAAAGATTAGTTCATTTTAATGAACGAGATTTGTTGACTCGAGTCTTTCAAAAGAGTGACTTTTCCCATCACTACTGCACATCCAGCTGATCACACCGACTACACCTGAAGCAGCTGCAGCCAGAGGCTCCGTGAGTAAAATCAGCTGATCACTGCTATGCCACAAAAGCTTTAATTGATGTGATGGAATGTGATCGATAGGTGACAGGTGATGAAACCAATGGAAAGCCTAGCTTGTGGTGATAAAATTGCAACAGTGACAAACATGCCTGAGACTGCAGCTGAAGGTAAGGTGATGACTGTGAATCACACATGGACTTGGACTTGATTGTAGGCACTTCAGTAAAAAAAGAGCCGTGCTCTTCTCTTTCTCTCAGTGTGTTACTTGCATGTACTGGTTTGACTGGAGACGTTTTGATACTGGACTGGTGTTTTGGTCGCTACCATTAAAAAGGCATCGAGTAGTAATACCCATCACTATTGATTGGTGATCTATTTGATAAATCACATCACTGTGTTCCGACCCACATGTTCCTGTAACAGGAGTGAGGTTTGTGCACACCTTGCTGCAGTGGACACTGTTGAGACGAAGAGAAGCACAACATAGTTAATCCCCTCACTCAATGACAGAAGAGATCCAGGCTGTTGGTTCCGTTTCATCTCAGATGAAGATCTAGTTGACACAAAACTTTAATATTAAATAAACTGGATGGTCTAAGATTAAGATAACAGTAACACAACAAAAAATACTGTAACTTCTGCCTTTGTGGTGCATAGTGTCCTCTAACTCACATTCATCCTCAGCATTGCTCCATGGAATATTGTTTATTTCTGTTGACCATTTTATGATTGTTTTTGCATACTGTCTATTACAAACCACATTTCATTTTACATCTGTGTTGTAATGTGACAATTAAACCTACCTTCTGCTACCTTCTG